ACACCCAAGACGGGATGCAGAAAACGTGCGTGCACAACATCACATTTTGTGTGCCAGGCGCGACAGTTGGTCTTGAAGAAGCTTTTATTCCTAACAAAGTTTGGACAAGAAAATACAAAAAGCTTCCAAGCTACGTGCAACTCCATCCGTCCATCATCACCTCAGCAGTTGGCGCATGGAATGTGCCACCAAACGGTTCGAAACCTCCTTCGTGGCGGGGCTGTTGAATAAAGAATCGCAAGTTCACGGGGCCGCGTGCGAGATGCGAAAATGCACAATGCGCCTAGTTATTAAGTCGTCTCCAAAAAGGGTCTTGGTGAACTGTTCCTGACAAAATCAGCAGCAAAGGGAACACAAGACAAGATTAATACACATTTATCCCATTTTAGCGCCAGGGCCAAATCCATCATCCTTGCAAACAGTTCGCGTTTGACGGGCACTTCAACCCACATAGTTTGCATGCGGAAGACAGGCGCCGGGTCCTAAACAAAACATCAAAAAAGCAGAGCGCGCCTATAGGTAGGCAAAAAACAAAGTCCTGTCCATTCTCGCGGCCGTACTGACACGCGTGGCGGTTGCGAGCTTCCGTGAGTGCTGGTCCAAATACGCACTCACCATACTCCTGGAAATTCGCGAGGACAAAGCACAATTTGAGTTGAACTCACTCGGATAAGGCGGCATTGGAGCTCGGTCGTCGGCGGCTTGCGCCCGTAGCCAGTCAGTAAGCAAAATGTCCATGGAATTCATGCGTGTCTCACACAAACTGACCAAAACCAGAACGACACCACGCTAAAAGAGGCTGACAGAGGCCGCAGCATAATGAAGGAAGGCGAGGGCGCAACAGCTTGTACCCCAAAATCGGCCAGGCGGGGAGCACAACCGTGCAACATGGGCTTGTGCAAAGCCACCAATAGTTTTTGCAGATCACTGATACTACTACTACGCAAGGAGCCCGGGTTGATTTATTCGGGCTCAGGGTTGGTTAAGGGCGGTTGCTGTTTGGTGTGGGGTGGGTTTAGGGTTGCTTTGGGTTTGCGTAGTGCTGGTTTGGGATGGTGAAGGCTTGGCTAGGGCTGGTTGTTTTTAGGGTTGGCGTAGGTCCTTTTTTGGGTTGGTTTACGCTGGGTTTATGCTACAGTTGGTTTAGGACGGGTGTATGGTTGGTTTGGGGGTTGGCTTAGTGTTTGTTTAAGATTTGTCTAGGGTGGGTTGAGGGTGGGTTTAGCTTCTTCGGCCCGACCCAAGCGACGGGTCGGACACCCCCCTACCACGCAGAAAATCGCTTCGCCAAGGGAACCAAATACACCCGCGGCGTGCCCTGAAACGTCTAAGCAAACATAAGCAACCGATTTCTCTCTACCTGGCAATCGTGGGACCATCCCAAAACAACACGTTGAACCCTCCTGGCGATTGCTGGCGTCCAGGTACAGCCTCTCATGAACCTGGCGCGCAGGTCAACATCTGGTGAGCCACTCCCTGTCAAACCAGTTGCTGCTCTTGATCTCTTTTTTACCGGACACCCCAAGGCGGCACAACTGACAAATAGATACGCTGGCCCTAGATGCAAAGCGGTGGGAAGCCTGCACTCCAAAACAAAAGGCGCTGCCTTCATATTATGTTATGTGCATTGACACGCGACACTTGCACATTTCCACACATCGAATTTGCAGTTGTCCCATCTCGTTCTTCGGCCCCTCAGCTTGCCCAAGACTCTCCTGCATCTGTCTGGTTTCTAGCGCCTTGCTGATGTGGTAGCCAGGGCTCTGCCAGCAAGCAAGCTCCTGATTCAGTGCCCGGGGTTTGCTGCTGAGGATGCCTTTCCAACAACGCTGTACAAACATACATTGGCAAATTGGCAATTGGCAAGACTTGTCGTCTGTGGCTAGCCATTTCTATTTGCGGATGTGAACATCGGCATCTTGGTCACAACGCACGCTGTTCCCTCCTTGGTGAGGGTTGCGCTTTGCTGGTGCCAAACAGTTTCATTCAGGCTGATGTGCATTTACGTTGCATGAGCCTTTGCCCATAAGCATTATGACCAAGTATCAAAGCACATCGCCAACCAGGACCCCACTTGAGCGCCCAGAACCCGTTGACCTTGGGTTCTGCTACCATTGTCATACACGGTATGGCCTCACTATAAACCCATGAAACCAGGTAGTATAACCACTTGCTAAAATGGCTATTGCTGGTGTTGGATGTTGCTCAATTGAAGTTGAATCAAATCGCCACTTGCGTGGTCACAGCTTGTCACTTCAGCAGAACCTCATGCAACAAATAGGATTTGGCGAAATTCCGCTTCTCTCAATCTGCTTCATCTCAGACTTGTAGACATGGACCCTTCGGGATGTGTCTCAAAATAGGGAATCCCTTTTTGGATGGCTTGGGAAACAAATTAAAGGCGACCAACCTGGCGGAGTCATCCAATGAGAAACACCATCCGACTGAGGCGCCCCGCTCGAGCCGCTCCACCTCAGGCTGCATGGTGGAGTGCAAGCGTGCTGGAACCACACATATATACGAGAGAGCCGATTGCAAAATGCAGAACCTGCTGGTCTTGAGCTCAATCTCTTTCAGATCCAAGAAACATCTGTCCGCATCTATCGTTGGCCCGAGGCATCTTGAGCTGGTCATTTTGTTGTTGTCTATCCAGGGAATCCCAGCCATCCCACCAGGGGTTATCACGTTCACAGCCAAATATATTTCTTTCAACGGAGTCGTGTTCTTGGAGCCGCATTCCAAGCACTCAGACTAAATGTCGGCCCAATAGCTTGACCATGTTTCACCAAAAAAAGGCAACCCACCAGCTGCTGGCATTGCGACAAAAGCAATCTGTTCGACTCGAGACGTTACTCATAGAGCTCAGTGGAGGATGGAACACAGCATCGCTGCTGCCCACAGCAACAATTTTGAACCAACAATCGAGACCAAAACAGCGATCAAAACGGCAACAGCGGCAAGCGGCTACACCACCAATAACAGCCACAATATCAGCACTCTCATCAGCACACCAAGCATGCCAGAGTTTGTGAAGCCTAGGTCTCCAACCTTGGCACTGCACGATTCGCAGCTGTTCCTGGACGTCGTTGAGAACCTCAGCAATGAGCGGCCTTCGGTCCCGGCCGAGTGACAATCACTTTTCAGAATGGGGCTTCTCAAAATCGAGGTCCTTTTGGCTTCCCTCCTAATACCAACCAAAAGGTGACCAAAATTGTGAGAAACCCCAAAATTCGGCATCCAAGACCAATTTCAAAGCCATGCCGGTGCCTTTTCCGGCCTTTTCGCGCGTAACGCTCAAGGCGGCTTTTGTCCAACTTCCCGCACACTGGATGGATGTTCAGTGGGCATGCCTCACTGCCTCACTGTCTTGATTGTGCAGTTTTGCTTCAATCCTCGACCTGAATAAACAAACAAGATTGGCAAACTCACACTGCATTGTGTGTTTGCAAATTTCTTGGTCGGGAATGAAACGCAACTCATGTTTGAGGGCCTTTTAAAAATATATGTCCGTGGCATCGTGGAACGCACTTGGAACTAGACGTGGGAGAACGCTGTCCGCCATTCTGAGCAATTGCTGTTGGTGCTGGCTGCGAATAAAGGATTGTGGTGCCTTGATCGTGTTATTCCAGTTCATTGCGAGTCATTCCAGCCCCTATTGGATGATGGGCTCTGTGTCACTGGAAAGTCAGTTCAGCTGGCTCACACTCACGCACCTTGCAAAGCTTCTGTGGCTAATGGACATTAGCCCACGCCTAGCAGCTTTTCGATTTGTGTTTGGCCAAATGGAACATGTGTTTCTTTTGCTGATTTGAAGCACACTTGATGAAGTGAAAGGGGAGTAATTTGCGTGGTGAAACCTGAAAAACTCTATAGCTTGTCACCCATATCCCGCGGATCAGTTTGAGCTGCTGATACTGGTGGGCTACCATTACTCTGACCTCTGACATTGACTGGAAGAAACTGGCAAGTGAGACATGCAAGCCTAAGCAAAGCTCCCAAACAGCCAGTTTTCCCCCATGCGGCCAGTGCCCCAAAAAGCAGAGGCAAAATCCAAAGCTTAGTTTTGGCTTCTTGAGTCCAGACTGAGACCATGGGATACGTTCCCGACCTGACTCAAAGGGAGGCCCGCAATGGTGCCACCTATGCTTTGCTTCCAGAATCAGAACTTCCGGGATCGAATTATCGAATTCCTGCTCAAGTCATCGATCCTGGCGGCTAAAGCTCGACGGTGCTTGAGTTTTAGATGTCAGCAGCACCTCCTGTTTCTGCCTGTTTCAGCTTTCTGCCTGTTTCAGCTTCCAGCCTGGGAAGAGCTTTTGTCAGGTTGCATTGAGGCGCAATGGACACTATCAGAAATCTGCGCCGTGAAAAATGAAGCCCAGGCTGTTCCTGCTGTGAGTGGGGGGGGGGGGGGAATTCATCGTTCCCGTGTCGCAACTCAGTAGCGCACTTCTACTACGACAATATCAGTTCAAAGATGGCTGCTTTTGTGGCTGTCAACCCCCAACAAGTTAATTGTAGAAACGGTCAACGAACTCGACACTAGGAGAGTAGATTGTATGCACCTGCTCAACCATGGAATCCACTTTGGATTCGGCAACACAGTAGCTGACAACCTCATCAACTGCTATTCTTTGTAGCCATGGACAACCCATCCTAAACCTGTTTGCTAGTATACCAGTCATACGGTCGTGGGCTGCTCCTGACAAGTCCTAGGTGAGGTGAACAAGTTGTGGGACATGTTCAAAAGCAATGCAGGTTTCCGCCAACAGTACGAAGCGGGTTCGTCTCAAACAAGAGGGACATAGCATATCATAGCCTTCCTCCAAGAGCAGGAATTGACTAACCTCTTCAAGCTCCAGCTGCAGCCACAGAGAGGACCAGGTCAATGAACATGCAACATGTCATTATGAAGGTCGTTGTAAAAAAGAAGTTACGCATGGCTCTTCCGCGCGGTCCTGTCGCCTCTTCCCTGGAGATTCATTTGCTTCTGCATCCCCTCATGCCGCACTGCTTCTGGCCTTGGACAGGCAAGCGGAGCCCCTTCCACTTCAGACCCCTTCGCCACCAAACGCCATCCACGAATTCACTCACGCCAATCCCCCAGCAGCCCCCATCCCCAGCCACGAGTCATCACCACAGCACTCGAGACCACTTTGTTCATGCAAAGGTTATGCGCGCACAATGTCTTGATGCGCAGCTGCTCACCTCAGCGAAAAGCAATATAGTAGGCAGGTAATGCTCATTAACTGGGACCTTTCCCCAGGAAACGGGACTTAAGCTGCAGCCACGGCCAACTCGGTACTCTTTGCTATGGCCCCCATGACGGCAGCTTTGGGGGCTTCCCATTCCAATCGCTCCTTTGTGGACACAGATCGCTTGTAGTACTCGATGCGGGTGGGATCCCGGAGAAGGCAGTTGATAATCTCCACGTCCGTCTCCTTCCCTTCCCCGTCCAGTATCACGAAGCGGATCTCTCCTGTTGCCTTGTCGGCATAGATGTGCTCCACAATCGGCGATCCCTTGAAGACCATGGTGCGCCAAGTAAAGCCTGGCTTCGCAACGCTCTCCACGTCTGACACTGGAAGGTATTCCTGGGGCCGTTCGATCTTCCTCACCATAGCCTCCCAAAGCTTGTTCTCGTCCACCTCGATGGGAGGGCTGCAGTACCCGAGTCCGACCATCTCCGACCCATCACCGGACATAGTGACGATGGCACTCCCTTCGAAACGAAAGAGCGCCCCCTTGTGCTCAAAGCTGCTATCAACTGGTGAAGTAACCAACGTGTGGCTCTTTCCAACGGGTCAACACGGGTACAGCTACTTTAGGATCAACTTTACAGAGTTTCAGGCATTCCGCTGCGAAACCAGGGATTTGTCCCCAAGATCTGGACGTGCCAGTCTCTTTGCAGCAAATGTTTGATCAAAAGCACGCCCATTGGAAGAGAACAACATCTGGCTGTGGCTCAAGCATAGGGCACCCCCCAAACCTCCAACCATTTGCAAAGGGAACATGACTTGAGCAAGCCCACAAGCTCATCCGACTCCACCCGTCACTTCAGCATACTTTCTCATGTGAGGTGCCCTATTGCCAGTCTGCCGCTCCACATGGAACCTGAAAGCAAGCTCCAAGTCGCATCTCTACGGAAATAATGCGTATCAAACACACAGCAACCTCACGGGTATGGCTGTCGCTGTGTCTGGGTGTCTGGGTGTCTCTGTGTGGGCCTGTGTCGCTCTCTCTCTCTCTCTCTCTCTGTTGTCACTGATTTCCTTTTTATTTCCTACTGTTCTCTTTCTGTGTTTCTGGTTTGCTTTCCTTCTTTCTCTCTTTCTTTTTTTTGTTCTTTGTCTTTCTTTCTTTCTTTGTTTCTTTCTTTCTTTCCTTATTTCCTTCTGTCCTTCTTTCCTTCTTTCCTTCTTTCCTTCTTTCCTTCTTTCCTTCTTTCCTTCTTTCCTTCTTTCCTTCTTTCCTTCTTTCCTTCTTTCCTTCTTTCTTTCTTTCTTTCTTTCTTTCTTTCTCTCTTTCTCTCTCTCTCTCTCACTCTTTGGCTCTGTGTCTATGTCTGTCCGTGTCTCTGAGTCCTTGCCTGTCGGTCTGTGCATTTGCATGCTCCGGCGTACCTTTTGGCGTACGCTGTACCGTTCCGTGCTTGGGGTGTGCACGCCATGCAATGCACGCTGCGTGCACATGCAGTCGCGCGTATGTCACATCGCTTTGGCAGGTGAGACCAACCATGTCAGGCCGCTTGAAAACCCGAATTGCCCACCCTGGTAGCCCTGGGGCCGCCGACAGCATAGAGTGCAATGACCTGCGGCAACCCTCGCACCAAACACCAGACACCACATGCTGAAGGCGTTGCAAGTCATTCAGGCTTTCGAGAATTGGCTTGCTACATGAGAAAAGCAGCTTCGTGACCAGGAATACTCCGGATGGAATCAGCTCCAGCCGGGCATGGCACACTTTTGTTGACCAATCGATTGGTTGTTTGCGTGCTAGGAGAATTTGCTATTCAATTCTGGTGTGTTATATCTCAGCCTGCATGTCATGCCACCACGGCAACGCCCATTCTGATGGGACTTGCAAAGCACATTCAGCAACCCGCCAAACTTCAATCTACAGCATGTGATTGCGTTGATTGCTTCCACTGTTTGTTTCAGCGCAGTAAACTAAAATGCGGCGGCCTTCGCAACACTCCAACCCTCGCCTGGTCTGTCATTTCCTCATCGGCTTTGTGGCCGCACGACTCCTCTGAGGGCTTGCAACCGGAATGAAACCAAGGCACACTTGTCATTTCAAGCTTGAGTCGATAGCTGGCATGGACGTCGTATGGCAGCAACGACCATATATATATATAATATGACACACACACACACACGTTTCTCATTGCAGGAATCGTAGCATGATAATTCTGAGTTGGATGAGTTGGCAAAATCACTGTGCTCAAACCTCTGCTTGGATGTTGCAGAAGTGTCATGCAAAGCAACCAACCAACACCTGATTCTTTGATGTTGCTGCATCTGTCAAAGCAGCGCCATCCAAATGACCACATCTATGATATCAGTGGGTGACGCGAGCCACCAAATACTTCCCCTGCTCTTTTGTTCGCGCTCCATCTCACCAAGGAAGCGCCCAGCTTCACGTAGGTTCCTGGTTTCGACCTCAGAACACATGGCCAGGATGGGTTTCTGCAGCTCACTTCTTCGAAAACACTCACCTCCCACTTTGGTCTATTCTGCATTTGCAGGGAGACTCCATGTTCTGCACTTTCTGAGGCCTTGACACATAGCCGTATCAATGACAAGTAAGTCTCCTAAGAAACAGACTGGACACATCGAGGCATTAGCACGCCAGTTCTCCAAGAGACATATTTTCAGCGGCAAAATGCAATGGAACAACGAATCTCTCGAATAGTTGACCCCATGTCAACCCCAGTTTATTAAGAGGGCCTCCAAAAGGTAGGATTCCCCACTAAACTCAGGGAAAAGCACCCCCCCTAGTACTAAACTGGTTGGTTGATGAGTATGGGGTCAACATTCTGCCACTCAGTGGACCCTCTACATGACGTGGGCCCTGCTCCTTGGAGAGGCTCATGCCAGCAGCTTTCATCTTCTCAGTGAGAGCCTGGCCGGGTCAGTGCTCAGAATCTGTTTGCTGCTCTGAACTGTAGTAACTCGAGATCGGCTTCAATAACCAACTCCTACGTCCTAGGACTTAGGAACGCGCGACTGGACTGCTGGAACCGTCAACCTGCGCCGATCTTGGTCGGCACACAAAGCCTACGGGAGCCCCGGGGCCCGCCATAGCCTGTTGGCCGGACGCATCTTTAGCTGAGTTCTCAGATGAATCAGCTAGGAATGCTGCCGGTTTCTCTTTCTCCATCCGGCATGAATCATCCTTAAGTCCACAACAAAGCTGACCTTATTGGCCCTCTCCACCAGCATCCCAATTTTTTGATGCACAGCCAAACTTGCTTTGACTACTGGCTACACCAAGCATGACAACTCTGTTGTTTTCATTCCACAGTGCATATTGGCACGCCGAGCGCATATGGGTTAGCTACAGTACAGTAGCTAAGCGTAGAATGAGGGATACTCATGGACCCCAATTATGAGTTCTTTGTGTGTTCAGTCATTCCTTGAACCCGCTTTCGCGCAATGGCTCACCATCACCCCACTCCCCGCGAGAATCGCCCGGCTCCATGTGTGATCCGTTGCGCGTCCTGCATGACTTTGGAGCTGTCCAGGCCGTGGTCATTGATCTTCAAGCCCTGAAGCGTGAGCCACTAGAACTGCAACGAGCCAATCCATGTCTCGTTGATCTGCTCAATGCATAATGGCTACTGGCCATGCTGATTTTGCGGATCTTGGCGCAAAATCGATTTGCTCAACATGACTTGCTTGTTCAAACAAACATGCTTGCCAACCCAGCGTGTGCAGGTCGCTGGTTCCTGTCCGGCTCAAGGTTGGGATGCATGAGACTTGCAAAGCCTTCGCCTACGGCCCACTGCAAAAAACAGCCATGGGTGTGGGTCAAAATGAAACCACTAGGAGACCGCAGGTTTTAGTCTTTGTTTCCATTTACCAGGGTTCCCTTCTATTATAGGTACCTATTTTTGACCCACACCCACATAGAGGAAAGTCTGAACTGCGCAAACACGCATAGGTAAATAGCTTCTGAAACCTCCTGTCACCCGCGGACTAAAATTGGGTGTTTCTCAAAAACAGGGGAACCCAAAAAACGGTTGGTATTCCGTCCGGAGCCATTTCCGAACAGCAAGGCCACCAAACCACCATCGTCATCGCGATCCTCTCTCTTTCCGCACGGCGCTGTCTCAACCACCTCCGGAACAATTTCGGCACGGCCGCGACACGACCCCAGCTTTCCTAGATGAAGCACAACTCTCAATTTGAATGTCGCTGCCTAAATGTCACGGACCAAAGTTCACAGCCATGGCCTTCATAGGCTGAATCACTCCCCAGCACGCCTTTTGACATAGGCACAGCGATTGTCACATTGGGTACACAACTGTGTCAAAACAAGGCAACCGTCCTTCCCAGACAGCACACCACAAGGCCACCCACAAACGTCCAAACTGGAAGTGTAAAAACAACAGCCGGCACATGCGATGTGGCAAAGCTTGGGTTGCTGCCACTAGGAAAAGACCAGTGCCTGTTCCCTATGTCAGCTTGTGCTGTTTGAACTGAAGGAACCGCGATCAGGCAGCTCAGGGTTGGGAAATAAACTGGGTGGGAAAAATGGCAACCTGCATGGGCCTCGAGCCGCAGGCTGCCGTTCCTTCAAACTTCAAGTTGTGCAATCCAACAAGCTCAAAGACCCTGTTGGCTCCACACAACTCTCAATTTGAATGTCGCTGCCTAAATGTCACGGACCAAAGTTCACAGCCATGGCCTTCATAGGCTGAATCACTCCCCAGCACGCCTTTTGACATAGGCACAGCGATTGTCACATTGGGTACACAACTGTGTCAAAACAAGGCAACCGTCCTTCCCAGACAGCACACCACAAGGCCACCCACAAACGTCCAAACTGGAAGTGTAAAAACAACAGCCGGCACATGCGATGTGGCAAAGCTTGGGTTGCTGCCACTAGGAAAAGACCAGTGCCTGTTCCCATCGTCGCAACAAACTGACACCCATCGGCGCACTGGAAAATTTGATGCTCAGCCGTCTACATCACTTGAACTACCTGAGTCACAAGCTACATTGAGAAACGCAGCTTTATCGAATTCATCTTCATCTGCATACGCGAGCACTGCGGAAGATCTCCACTCTCCTGCCTGCATCACCTGGAAAAGGGAGAAACCTTCGCGAGCCAGAGCTGCTGCCTTTCCGGCCCGCAAACACTTGAATGAGAACCCCTTGTGGTCAGGAATTTGCAACAACTTGAGCATGTTGCGAAAACGAGTCAGCGCCACAGACTGTGTCAAAGTAAAAAGCCGTTGGCCGCGGGAAAGTTGCCTCAGCCGCACAGCCAGACGGTGCCCCACACACAGCGGGCTCCGCTGGTGAGGCCCACACACACACGGTCTAACCAACAAGGAACCCTGTGGCCGATGCTTTCGCTGACGCAATCGCAAATGCAAAGTGTTGGCGGGATCAACAAACACTGCGGAATGTCTTCCGGGGGGCAAATCATGCACATCTTCAAAAGTGCCCTGCTCCAAAGGCAAGGCCTCACTCTGAACTCTTAGCAGAGCTTGCCAACTCAAGAGCACCACATCTCCTAGCTGGCTGAATAAATCAATGCCATCGGCTAAGGTGAGAAGACGTGTCAGCAAATCTTCGTGCATCAGCCTGCGCCTGGTCAAGGCGCCTGCCCTTGATGCCACATACTGCTTGTGGAGCCCCCGCAGAGTCATTTTGAGTTCACCGCTATGCCACTCCAAGGACAAGGACATGTATTCGCACGCCCATTTCAGATACCCCACATAATTTCTGGCAGTCCCTGGGTTTCCGAAAATTGCGACAAACAGGGACACATCGTGCGCACACTTTGGGGGAAGAGAACTGTCTTCCGAACAGCCCAGCACTGCGCAAGCAAACGTGTGCCAAAGACGAAGCCCTGACGCCACACACTTCAAGGAGCCCATTCGTGTCTGCAGCTTCAGGGAAGAGATTGCACTCTCAAGCTGCTCACGGGCCACGTTGGGCGGCAACTGCTGTAACTGCTTGCAAGTCAATGATGGACTATTGCAAATTGCGGAAATGCCCACGTTAGCTTTCTTCAGGCTTTCAGCTACCAATGTCGCTGGTAGCGTGGCCACTGCCCCGCCAGTGGTAAGATCGCCTTTCTTTGCTGGCTTGTTGTTCATGGCCGACACTGCGGACATGAGAAGCGTCCGGACCTTCTCACACATGGCCAGGCTGGCGACCTCCTTTGGACGTGCCCCTACCAAATGAGCGGGGTCTTGAAAGCCACTGGTCACCAGGAGCACCGCTGCATCAAGCTGCCATGCGCTGACCAACGCAGACTCTTCTACACCCTGGAGAAACTCTGCCATCTTCATGACCGCTGCTTCGAAGGCATCGGCTCTGAGGCCTGCAAATGGTCGCAAGGCCTTGTCCTGCCCTGCACCCCTTTTCTTGGCCTGAGCTTTCCAAGACAACAGCAAGGCCTGTCTTCTGCGCTGCCACTCATTGGGCAGCAATCCCCACACCCGGTCAGCATTGAGGATAAATCCGGCGCCACTGGCGCTCAAAATCGAAGCATCCACGTTCATGCGCTCTGCCGCGTGAAGCTTTGTGTGCAACGTCTTTGCATCCTTCAGCAGCCATGCCCGAGTCACTTGCTGGGCCCACTCTTGCGCCAGAAAATGGTCATGGCACAACTCTGGCATTGCCACTCGCTGAATTCTTTGAGCCAACATCCGAGCAGAGTTCAACAGAGCAAGCACGCGCATCCCAGCAACTCATATTTATGACCACATGTCCTTGACCCATTCGGGTAAGTGCGGTGGCACAAACTTTGCGCTCAATCTGGCAAGCACAGTGAGATCTTCGCGTGTTGGCCCGTCTGCCACATTCGCAGCGCTTTCCACTCTGGCCACATGCAAAAAGGCTCCTGCTTTTGCCAGCTCCAGCCACAGGCGACCCACACAGGAATGTGTCTCGGGACTGCCTCCGCTTCCTTTCAGGAGAGCGTGTAAAATAGAATTGTTGTCCACAAATGCCATCCACGCAGCCCTCGTGAGCAAGGGGAAGAATGTGCCCCATGCCAACAGCAGCGCTAGCAGCTCTTGAAATTGGATTTGGTGATCGTTTCTTTCCAACAGCATGTCCCACAAAGCCGCGGGCGTTTGCATGCGAGTAAACAGAAACTGCCCTTGGTGCCACAGCACTGCGGCAATCCATCTGGATTCACCTGCTGCGTCAGACCAAGTCACCACTTGAGATCTACTGTCTTGAGGAAGCATGCGCACTGACACGGGGCAACATTCCAAGTATTGCAGAAACCAGGCCCCGGCTCTGCGAAGCGCTGGCGACAACCCGCCTTTTGGTAAGGGGTCATGCGCCTCACGGTCACTGAGAACCCCAGTCTCCCTGCCATTTTGGAGGCTTCTCCCGCCGCAAGTTCCTGGCAATCCAGCATGTGCTGAAGCAATGCCCTATATTTCTGGGCCTTGTCATGGCTGACGTGAGTGAAAATCTGCTGCTGCTTCCATGAGACTTGCACTGAAGCACCCAGGACAACCATTTCCCAAGTTGCATCTGCATCTTTGGAGTGGTCCGTTGGGAACCCCAGCAGCCTGCTCAAAACCGAGAGGATACGTCCTGATGACCATGTAACTCCTGATCTGGACGCGCCGAAATAGTCATCCACATAACGATTCGCTGGCGCCAGGAAGAATCTCACTAGAATCAGCCACAGCATGTGGCCCACCCGGTGCCACCCATAGACAGCTGAGATGGTGCCAAACGGCATGCCGAAGTGCTGCGACACCCATATTTGCCCATGAGACTTCCACACCGTCCAGGCCAAATCATGATGGTCAGCCTGGATAGGGACACGACGGAACGCTTTGGAAATGTCCCGCTTCCACATGTGAGCTTCCACTCCTGCAGACATGAACCTCTGCAGCAACACCACTAGCGAGTCGAGTGAATGGTGCTGGATTTTGTCAACTGGGGCAGTGGCAGAATTTATTCCGCTCTCAGTCTCATGGTCGACCACTCGCGTGCGCCACCCTGATGCCCTTTCTTCCCGCACTGGTATGCGCCGAGTCAAGGACTTGGTGCGCAAGTCACTCGGCACCAGTAAGCGCGGCGGAGACATGAAGCCCTCCTGGGAATCTTCCAGCGTTTGTTCCAGAATGTCAGAGCTATGCGGCAACTCCCCAAGCGAGCTTACCACTTTTTGGTTCAAAGCATCGCGGTTTGCCCTCAACTCTTGGACAGACAAAGGAAAGGAAGGGTACGCAGCTGACGCCGACCCTTCGCATTCTGGAAGAACCCCTACCAGAGGAAAGCCTTGCTGCAATGCCCGCAGGAAGGCTTCTGCTTGCACGTCAATGGCGTGGAGCAACATTTTCCACAGCGGACCATGGATGCGCCTCACCACAGGCTGGAGCGTGGGCGGGGCTCCCTCCGACCACACGGATTGCTCCATTTCCAGCTGCGCTGCGATGAAAATTAGTCGCTCCAATCGCTCTTGTCTGAATGCGTCCACATCAGGGGTTGGCAACGCCAATTCAAAGTCAATGGCCTCTTGAACGGCAGGGTCAATCACACTCGCTTCGCAGGCAGGGTGCGGCAAAGTGAGGGCAAATTGAACATGCTGCAGCGGCGTCAAGCCTTCAATGGCACCTGCACCCCATGGCACAAACTGCACCTCTATGTGAGGACACATGTTTCTTTCTTCCGCTTGCAGCTTCAGCGGCAAGGGGCAGGTGTCACCTGCCGCCGCCATAGGAACTGGCCAGGACGTCTGCAGCGCACGAGCCCTGACCTTCAAGGCAGTGTCCAAAAGCTCTGCAAACCTGACACCCAACAACGGCGGGTATGTTTGGGCCAGCCTTGTGCGGAACACTTTCTCACCCTGCCACTCTACCACACCTCGAAGGGGAATGGTAGGCGCCTGCCATGGGCACACACCTTGCTGTAGGCCATGCAGCGTTGGCGTGTTGTGCAGGAACAAGGTGGGCTTGGAAAAGGGGGCCCCGAAGTCCGAAAACACCAGCCTAGTGAGGGACACCCCGTCATGAGCTCGAAGCTTTGCAAATGGCGGAAGCACCCAAAGCCATGAAAGTTCCGGGTTCTCCACACTAAAATAGCAGCCTTGCTCCATCAAGGTCACGCACATGGACGCAGTAAACTCCAAAAGGCAATTCCCAAGGGCCACCAGGTCAGCCTGATGCGGAAGCAAGTTGGGTACCCCATAAGGGAAGTTTGCACTTCGCAACTGCGGGGCACGGGCCCAGGAAAGGGACTGGCAGGGAATTGCAAAATGAGCAGCTGCGATCTTTCCCCGCTGCGCCAAGCGAAGCAAAATGTGTCCTTGCGACACAACATCAAATCGCAAGTCGAATTTAATATCCCAGGGGTGGAGAACTGGCATGCTAGCCGCCATGGCAGCCAGTGTGAAAACTGCTTCTCCGCTGAATACCTCCAAAAACCAGGATTGCGATGCGTCCAGCTCAAAGCATCCAGAAGCAACGTCAGGAAGCAACTGCAAGGTCCGGGGCGCGTGTCCTTGGACAAGCTCTGGGCCTTGAGTGTCTCCCAATAGTCAGCGTTGACCACCTCGCTTGTCCTGTTGCTGCTGGCGTCTATTCGCCTGCTTGGAAAACCAGTTCATGGTCTTATGCTGCCTCTTGGTAAGGTTTCCTGACTGTCCGCCTCCTGCTGCCGCTGAAGCTTTTGCCATGAGCTGCGCCTGAACTTCGCCCAACTTCTTACTGGCTGCTTCAGCCCTCTTCTGAGCTTGCTCAGCAGCAGCCAACTGCTTGGCCACTGCTGTTGGGTCTGAGGACATGGGGATGTCTGCTGGGGCTGGCAAAGCCTTGGGCACGGCACTCTCGGCCAAGCCAACCTCTTGCAGGACTTGACTTACCCGCTGCCGCGCCAACTCCAGCATGTCCTTGTCTACTTTCTGAGACTCTGCCAGGATGTCCAGCGACGGGTCACGTTTTTCCGCCCTACGTGCCCACTGACGACGGACAAGGTCATCGTACAGGAAGGCCAAGTAGGCTGCTCTGCCCTTGATCTTCTCCTGCTCGCAGATCTGCAAGACGACATCCAAGTGACCAAACACAACTGGCCACGTCATCTGCCCAGTTGCCACTGCCGTGGTGGCATATCGCACGAAGGCAGCCACCCACTGCTGTACATTTCGGAAAAACCTGGGGCTGGCAGTGGCTCCCTTGAGGGCTTTTGACAGATCACTGAGCGATCCAATTGCATGGTGTCCAGCTAATCTAGACTCGTCATCATCACGCAAAGTAAATTTTCCGCCCACTGAGTCTGCTGGGAGCCACAAAGGCAGGACTTCTTTGCTCGTGAGGTCAACGTAGGTGAAGGGCGTTCTGCTTTGCGCCTTTGCTTCCTCCGACGCCAGCTGCAAAGCAATGTATAGCGACTGGTCAGCTTGAACATGGAAGCCCAGCTTTGACAGCCCGCACTTCTGCAACATGTCTGCCACATCGGGGGCTTTGGCTGGCGCCAAAGCTGACGCCAACGATTTGGCAGAAAGCGGCACGTTTGCCAGCGCAGTCCTGGCGGTTGCCTGGGCCATTCTGGCCTTGTCCAAGGCTTCTATGTGTCTAACCAATCTGCGGATCAAAGCTGCAGCTGGCAATAGCTCTGGCAATGTACATTTGTCCACATCAGCCTCAGTTACCCCACTTGCGGCGTTCGGATCTGGCAACTTTGCAACATCTGTCAGAAACTGCACGGCTGCTTGCAGCACATCCTCGGGCGGCTTAGCCGCTTCGGTCGTGCTAATCAGCTCCTCCCAAGATGTTGCCATGGCTTGCCAGATGGTGCCGCCACAAAAATGGCAACCTGCATGGGCCTCGAGCCGCAGGCTGCCGTTCCTTCAAACTTCAAGTTGTGCAATCCAACAAGCTCAAAGACCCTGTTGGCTCCACGCAAAAGGCCGTGCAACATCAAAGATGGCACCTTTTGGAAAAACACCTGCACATGAGTAGCAGTCAGACTGAGCCCACACGGTGGACAGTTCCTTCATTTTCGATATCTGCATCCGAGCTCTTTTTCTTGAGCCGAGCGTTTTTCAGACAAACGCGCGGTAACCTGCACGAGCGGAAAAATAGCGCTCAACGGACGATGTAGCCCATGGCAAAACTGTAATGGCGCGTGCCAAAATCGCTGGCAGCTTGTCGTCGCAGCGGTCGCCTCACGGAGCTTTCCGCAATGGCATGGCGCAGCCACGAAACAACCGTCGGCCCCGTCAGCCGGGTCATTGTGGTCCCCGTTCGGAGCCAGTCACTGGGCCAGGTGACAACGAAACCGCTGCAAAACAGTAACGGCGCCAGATGTGAGCGTCGCCGCGGCCGCTTCAAAACCACCGCCGGAGCGCCCTGCATCATCGCTCCCATAGATTCGACTAAAGGAGAGCCCACGCATCAGATATGTTTTTGCGACAAAAACAAATGCACCCAACGTCCCACCGCGCATTGCCTTCAGAAGCCGCTGTGCCGCCAGGTTCTCCTGCTGCTCCTCCTCGGGCGACGCCTGCCGGAGAGGCTCGGAAAAACCGGTCTGGTGGGCGTCGGAGGGAAACCAGACGGAAGCCATCCAAAGGGGTCTGCCTTCGAAAACGTTGGCCTTCCAAAGACGAGGATAATGGAAGCCAAGATAACAACATGGGGCAATGTCATCACTTTCTGAATGCGACAGTGATGGAATTCGAAAGTTGAAGCTGAACACCTCCCCCAGTTAGCCGCATCCCATCACATAATGTATGTTGCTTTCATGTTGAGCATGTGCTCCGGCAACAACATGGCCCCATACAACATTGCTAGCTAATCGGAAGGCTATGCCTGGCAACATGTGGGTTCCTTGGGCAAACCCGCCACTTCCCACCAATCCACCGATTTCAAGGGGCTTTCATCGAACAGCTCCCACCTTGACGTTGCAAGCCCGGGGTGGCGGTGGACTGTCTCCTGGCCAAACACAGCAGCGCAATCGGGATACTCCATATCCCAGGGTCATGGGTCTGTCTTCTTTGGAGTTGGTACCCTTTTGTGTTGATATTTATTGGGAAGTGACTGGAAAACCGCTTGGGAGGTTCTCGGGAGGTTCCCCACAAGACATGACAATGCTCCAAGGTCGAACCATCCTTGGTTGCCATGTCCCATCTTCCATTCAATCCTAGGACTCCTGCTTGCTTGTCATAGAACACAGCTTTCTGGATTTCACAAGCGCTGGGAAGCTTCGGCACGTGGATGTGGAAAAAAAGGCTATTCCACACCAAGTGGCACGTTGTGCCATCTGCAAAAGGCACGAGCCACTGGCTGCTGTTGTTTGCCGGTTTTTGCCCCAGGCTTCCCCTCTGCAAGCTTGCCGGCTGGGCTTGGCAGGAAGACTCGTTGAGGATGCTCCTGCAAGGAAGCTTCGTCTCTGAAATGCATGCGATAAGCTCAGACTTGCTGGTCTGAACAGACAGCAAGGCTGTTTCTCATGAGTTGCAAGTGCCTTGCTGTGGCCGATCTTAAGCTTTCATGCTTGGTCATGATATTTGATAGGCACAAAAGGGGATGGGCAGCTATGCAAGTCTTGCACAATTGCTTCAATAGCGTGTACATGCCCTACAAACTCCATCGACAACAAATTGTACTTTCGGTGTCTGTTTGTCATCATGTTTGCTTGTTTCACCCCTGGTATCAAACTTTTGCTTGATGCTTTGCTAATAGGAGCACAGCTATTGGGGATATCTTTGACTGTCTGAGGAAGATTGCGAAGACAAACATAAATGAAAGGCTCTTGGCTGCTGATGTTAAACTAGATGCTTTCCATTTGTGACCCCAGGCACATTTCGCTACCCCGTACGGGGTGAGGGTTCAATCGCTGACATTTGATCCTCAACATGTAGCACAACGCGATTGGTGAACTGACTGCTCTTGTTGACTTGACCAGCCTCAAGGCGCCCGCCAAGTCTTTTGCCATTCGCGGCGAAACCCGCGCTCTATGTACACCACTCCATTGCTCTGAGGGTGCCTATAACATAATCTGGCTTGGATCGCCGAGGGGAAAACCCGACGGAATTGGCAGAGCTAGCAATGCTTATAGGAGGACCCTGACAGAGCTGAAGCTACCTGCTTGCGCTCAAATGAGAACAACACCATCCTTGCCTCGGCTTGCCGAGGTCATGCGAGTGTTTTCCATACAGTCTCTCGCAGCAAATAATTAGCATGATCTGCATGTGACAAATGGTAGCGAAGGAGAAAGGCCAGTAACATTCACGCCAACTCACATGTCGTATCATGCGAGCCCTTCAGCCCCTTGCTTGCAATCACAGGTGCTATCGCTTGGTGAGCTGCAGTTCAAACCAGAGACGTCAAATAATTCCTGGCGCTCGCATGCGCAGAGCCGAAACTCCAAACAATCTGAACCGCACATCTGTTTGTCATTGTGGTCTATCAGTACCACAAAGGTCAAGTGCAAACAATGAGGCACAGGCACCCTAAACTATCTTGAGGTGGCTGATCTATGGGCTAAAGGGCTTTGTGATCAACCTGGATAAGGAAGCCATGGAAAAGTCTGGAGGGCACTGGGCACCCAATTGTTTGGTGATGGTAAAGGAAATCCAAAAGGAACACCACAATTTTGGTGTTAGCCCACCTTAAAAAGACGCGTGAGCGGTAACTAATTGGCCTTGAGCAATTGCTCGGCAGCTTTACACACCCTGGGCAAGTTGGCTCTCAGGGTTGAAGACTTGAAACAGGTGAATCGCTTCAAACACCTCCATGCAACTCAGAAGGGTGTGCCTCTTTTAGAGAACCCCCCGCTTTTGGTGTGAAAGGGAAACCACAAGGAAACGGTTGACATGTTGAGGGTTCCGATTCTCGTGAGACGAACGGCTCGCCTCGGGCACTGGGGCTGTGCTAATGTCGTAGTAGCGCAGATCAATGGCGCCGTCCTCACCTTGGGGCGGCCAAGAGACCAACTCAGAAGGTGCTTTCGAACTCCACCTTGGATCAGAATCCATATTTTTGTTGTGGACATCAACTAACCCTTCTCTACTTTGGCACTGACATAGATCCTTCCTGCATTTAGCTTGTGACCAAGTCCATTGCACAGCACACAGAATGGTGCAGCAGTGCCGCAGTGATGCAAACAACGCAATCCCGCAGAAATCCGACTTGCAGGGCTAGGGAACGAAACAAACAAACGCGCCCATCTCGGCTCTATTTAACAAATCTCATTAAGCTTCAACCAGCTGTCAACCCGCCGCTCGAGAGCGTGGAAAAACCGGACTCCAAGGTGCTGATGGAAGCCACCGGAAGGTTGGTGTAGAAGTCAGAGTAATAGTCCGAGATGCGCTGCACTCGCTGGATGGCCCAGGGAACGGTGTTGGACCAGCGGTGGCAAAGCCTGCCAAGTTCAACCACGGCACAACCAGACAAACGCATTTACCAAAAAAGGACAAGAAGTGATGCTTCAACATAGAGCAACCCGAGCCCCTCCATGAGCCTTCATTTGCGAACACTTACACAAGGTGGAAAGGGTAGCCATGCTCTGGCAACTCCAACCAGTCACACCCGCCGTAGCCAGCCATTCAACAACCATGACACCTATGCTTTGCTTCGCTCAGGGATTAACAATTGCATACATGCACCTTTGTCTCAAGTGTGAATGCCGGCTTTCTGATCCAATGCCGTTTGACCAAGCAAACTGGAGCAGCAAGAGCGGCATGCAGCCATTGAGGGTTGCAAGCAAAGCAACAGAACCCAGCCAAGCACAGTCGGGGTGATGTCAAGTCCAATCTACAGGCTTAGAGGTGATTTCGTGACACTTGATGCGGCTGAACAGCAGCCCTGCAAGAGAAACGGACCAAGCGCATTCAGGGTGACAGATGCAGATGCTTAAATCCGAACCGCA